ACACGTGGGAAGGCCTGCCAGGACAATGTGATCGGGGAGGGACAGGTCTAAGCCCCTAAACTTGGGTAAAAGAGAATGGCCCAGACTGAACCAGTGACCCCTCTTTCTACCTGCTGCTTTTAACCCGACTTGTGTTATATTTGCTTTTTTTTTTTTTTGAGAGAGAGAGAGAGAGAGAGTCTCACTGTCGCCCTCAGATAGAGTGTGGTGGCGTCACAGCTCACAGCAAACTCAAACTCTTGGGCTTAAGCGATTCTTTTGCCTCAGCCTCTCGAGTAGCTGGGACTACAGGCGCCCGCCACAATTCCCGGCTATTTTTTGGTTGCAGCTGTCATTGTTTAGCAGGCCAGGGGTGGGGCTCGAACCCACCACCCTCTGTGCACGTGGCCGGTGCGGTAACCGCTGTGCTACGGGGCGCCGAGCCTGTTTGCTTTTCTTGAGACAAGCAAACAGGAAAAGGACCCTCTCAGAACCTACCACATGTTAATCTAATATTTATTGAAGACTCATCCTGAGTTGGAGGAATATCCAGAAAAACACAGGCATCTTGCCTATGAAACACTTTCGGATGTTGGCTGCAAGCCAGGCTTAAAACATAAAATACAATGTACTGTATTATCAGGCCATTGCCCTCCCATCCTTTCCATGCCTGGTTTTGCCAACAAATACATTTAGCCAGGTAGTCTCGTCTAACTCCTAGCTTGTACAGCATCTACAATTAGCTTGATGCTCTTCAAGTGATAATTAATAAAAACCAACAACAAACACTACTTGATTCAGGGGCTCACTAGGTTCATTCTCTTAGGTGTTTTGTTAAATCCTCAGCAACATAACCGAGGAATATTAAAGAACAAAACTGTGGAGCCCCTGGCAATCAATGGCATGTAGCATTCTGAAGACCTCAAGTTCATTTCTTTTCTTTCTTTTCTTTTCTTTTCTTTTTTTTTTTTTTTGACTCGGTCTTACTCTGTCATCCTGTCATCCTGGGTTGAGGGTCCTGGGGTCATTAGAGCTCACAACAACCTCCTGGGCTTAAGCAATTCTCCTGCCTCAGCTTCCCAAGTAGCTAGAACTACAGTCAAGTGCCACTATACCCAGCTAGTTTTTTCTTTCTTCCTTTATTTTTTTTCTCAGACAGATTCTCACTCAGTCACCCTGGGGTTGAGTGCCTTGAGTTCCACAGCATCTTAGCTCACAGCAACCTCAAACTCTTGGGCGCAAGTGATCCTCCTGCCTCAGCCTCCCAAGCAGCTGAGATTACGGGCATGCAGCACAATATCCAGCTAATTTTTCTATTTTTAGCAGAGATGGGGTTCTGCTCTTGCTCAGGCTGGTCTCAAACTTCTGACCTTGAGCAATTCACCTGCCTCAGCCTTCCAGAGTGCTAGAATTACAGGCTTGAGCCACCATGCCTGCAATCCCTCCAATTTCCATGCTGAACTTCAGTTGGGGATTTGGCCTAGCCTGTCCCAAGTTTTCAAAATGGCCATAGGCAGGCCAGTTTCTCACCTGAACCACACATTCCCCTGTTTCATAGGTAGAATAGCAATGTGTTTTTAGGATTTGGATTCTAATTCCATTTATGTCATTTACTTGCTGTGTCACCTTGGGCAATTTACTCAACCTTTCTGTGCCTCAATTTTAACTGACAGATACTATTATCTAATTCATAGGGTTATGCACATTAAATGAGTTGAATTTTGTAGAATGTTACATAGTATCTAATGTATAGAAAGTGTTCACTGAATGCTACCTCCTGTTACCCATCCCTGCATTTGCTTGCATGTGCCCAAATAAAAGTTCCCAGATGCACATGTACGTACCCAAACAGAAGTTCCCAGATGCGCATGCACATACAAACACACACACACAAAAATGCAATGCCTTCCCCCACATCTGCATAAACAATCCCACCTAACCTTCAAAGCCTACATAAAATTTCACTCTCCCTAACATCCCCCACCCAGCTCCCAGAGCTCTATCCCTCCTCCAAACTTCTACAGAATTTATTGCCTGCACTACTCATTTTATTCTGAATCACATACTGCCTTCCATTGTTCTCTCATTGTGATTCCTGTCTCCCACACTAGGCTCTTTGAGAACAAGGGATAGGTCTTAATCTTTTCTAGCCCTCTCCACACACAGCACCTAGCAGAGTGGCAAACACATAACTAGGCACTGAATAAACACTAAGAGATTATTGACCCCAAGTGAAAGGTAAGCAGTAATTGAGCCAAACTGGTACGTCAAATTGTAGAAAACTAAAAAAGCTTCAGACAAATGTCCTAATCATTTCTTTGCTGGGATACAGGCCAGAGCCTTTTTGTCTCCTCAATAGTAACAAGAGCAAATGAACTTTGCTTTTTAAGTAGAGCCTTCCAGCGCACAGTGAAAAGAGAACCTGGAATCCAGGCTCAGTTCAGGGAGAACTGGGGAAAAATCATCTCTCTGTGGTTCACCGTACTGAAGCCAAATGAAGAGGGTGGACTAGAAAGGTCTCTAAGATACCTGTTGGCTCTCATCTTCTATGAGTCTATAAACTCAGCCTTCCCACCTTTTCATTGCAGTCAGGTCTGATTTTTTTTAATCTAAAATTTTATTAGAAATTGCACAACTGATTCTTAATGCAGGAAGCTTATCTGCCTGGCTTGGTGATATGAGCCACCTCTCTTCCCGTAGAGACAATGCCCAAATTCTTTTGGCCAACGTGCCTTCCAGCTATGGGCCCAGCTGAGCTTCTGTGGAATGCAGAGTGTTAGAAATTATTACATTTGTGGTACCAGAAAATATGTCAGGTAACCTGAGGCTCAGAAAAGTGAATCTACTTGCTTATGATCACACATGTTGGTGGCAAGGTGAGGACTAGCATGTGGGCTTCCAATTCCTCATCCAATGTTCCTTCAACTGTATGGGTCAGAGCAAGCTACTTCTCTTTGACTTGACCATCTACCTTTTCTTCCCTGGTACTTTGTTCTTTGAATTCATGTCTGCCCCTCTACCCACCATAGAACTTGAAATCCAAATGCATGTATGATCTCCCACAAGCAAAAAATAGTGCACAATCCTGGTATATAAAGTGTTATCAGCAAAAACAAACCACATGTGTTGGAGAACTGAGAGGACAAGGACCAAAAATTTAAAATTATTCCAAAATGTGAACGAAAGGAAATCTGAGTCCAGGTTCTGTGTGGGCAACATGGCCTTGGTTTCCACCGAGTGCAAGAGCTAGCAGAGTCCAAGAAAGGAGTCAGTCTGTGGGTGAAGGTGGATGGGAATTTAAAGGGTCAGAGGAGTAGGGGTTAATACATTCACTCTTTCCCGGGTGGGACGGTTCTATTTGGGCGGGTCCTAC